GCTTTTCTGTTGGCCTCAGCGCCGTTTATCGACATTCGGGTGTCACATAAATTTGTGGACGTAGTTGTACATTTCTCTAAACGGGGAATGGGATGCTGTGGAAACACCACCACAAACACCCAAATTGGTGAATCAGTTCCTCTCATTTCCCTTTGTTAAATTGTGTTGGTGTGAAATGTAGCCCTAACTGCACGAGGCTGTTGCACATCACATCTGCAATTATCTCAAATCAGCCAGTAATCCTTGACACAGTCCCCCCTGGCTTCAAATCCTAGACTCTGCTCACGCTGTTGCTGGTGGAATGGCCCCAGCCAGGACACACTCTCGATAACCCTTCTAGAGGGGATTTTGGCCTACTCTTCCACGGTGTCCAGAGGTCTTGAAAGGGGTGTGAGTCAGAGGTGGGACAAAGTCATTGTTATGCAAGTCCAAGTCGAGTCTGAAGTCATCAAATTCATGACTCGAGTCTGACTCGAGTCCAAGTCACATGACTCGAGTCCACACCTCAGAGGTGGGACAAAGTCATTGTTATGCAAGTCCAAGTCGAGTCTGAAGTCATCAAATTCATGACTCGAGTCTGACTCGAGTCCAAGTCACATGACTCGAGTCCACACCTCAGGTGTGAGTACCCACACTTTACCCCACCACAATCAACCTCCTGACCGACTGAGGTATACCCATTAATACGGCTGGGACGACTGAAACTTTGGCATAATAATAAACGTGTCCCATTGTTTCATCGACCGCGCCGGGAGATAGGCGCCACGGTGGCGAGATGTTAATTCCCTTGCCTGGTATCCTGGGGGTCGTGGGTTCGATCCCGACCCCGACGTCTATAAATTTGGAGTTTGCATGTTCTCCCCGTGGTCGCGTGAATACTTCTCCGGGTCCTCCGGTTTTCCCCTCCACATTTAGAAACACGCGTTTAGAGTATTTGGCTGCTATATATTTCCACATAAGCCACTTCGTGGAGCTATCATTAGTGGCCAGATCGCGTCTGAAAAAGAGCTATATAGCTCAGTGGGCCTTACCTGGTTAAACAAAAATAGTTAATAGTTAATAGATCGAAGCGAGCCACGATGCTTAACACAGCCCTTCACCCCCACCACCCACATCCAATCTATCATTTATTCAAAGTACATACGACGCTTTGCAGCATCTGCATTAAAGATTCACGCGATGGTTATTATACAAATCTATCAAAGGGAGACATGAAAAGTCAATGCGTGGTCTCTGGCACGTGGCTGAACAAGGCCCCCCCCCCCCTCTCTCTCTCTCGGAGCCAGTCCCAGAGTTGATCATTAGGGGGTTCACACGTCGACTTCAAACGCGTGCTTGTGTTTCATTTAGAGCGCTTGGAATAACACTCCCACCACCACCACCAACCTCCCCACGACGCATTCTTGTTGTTTCTGTTCTTGATTCCTGGAACAGAAATTACATTTGCCACTGCGGTAAATAATGTAACATAAATACGGTCGTGCATTTGAGAGAATCGCCACGTGACAGGCGAGTGAGTTGAATGATGCCGCTTGTTTCGTGACGGAATCACCCAGAAGGTGGTTCCGTCTCGTCGCATATCATCTCAGCAATCAATATTTAAATATACCCACAACCCTTCACAATGACATCGCCACTGAGCGCTTCGCAGGTAAACATACCACGACATCAATCTAATATAAGTTACACAAGTAACAATAAGTAATTCCGCATTAGTTTAAACAATATAAAATAGAAAAAAAACTACAATAGTTGGACAGTGCTTGGATAGGTGAGTGGAGCGCATAACAACAGGCGCTATAGGCCCCGAGGGGATAACGTCCTCATCCGATGGGCCGTCCAATCCAATGTTGTGCTGTACTCTGCCCCAATGCCTGTGCTCCCCGCCTTCACCATCCCGCATTGATGAGAGCGCTCAATAACTGTCACGTAACCCACACGACCCCCGCACGGCGTGGGGAGGCCCTCATCCAGCGCTGGAACGTCGACAACACGGGCACAGCAACACCTGCGTTTTCGTTTGATTGTTCCATATCCCTCGTTTGGGTCTCTCAGGCTCCCCGCGACTCTCCCGTGTCGCTCTCGCGTCGTGCCCTCCCCGTAAAGCTGCACCCAGCTCCCTTCTGGCACCGGGAGATGCATCTCCCAGGCCAGACCGCTTCATCGGTGGGCGGTCGATCCGTCAAAAATGAACTAACGGCACCAGCGGACACTGACAAAACATCGCCCCCCACCAACCACCACACACAGCCGGCAGCTCCCTCCCTGCAGTCGCTACAGCTGCAGCAGCAGCAGGCAACCAGCGCCGTCTATCTTTAGCACTGGGGGGGGGGGGGGGGGTTGAGTGTGCGAGGGACACCCCTACCACCTCGCCCCGTTGGGCATTGATGGCTTTTGCCACCCACTACCACCACCAGGGCCCGTGGGCTCCACGGCACATCGGCAGACGGGGGCGCACGGCACACGACGGCCAGGGTCACCGGGGGGCAAACCCAGCCAGCGGCCCGGCTGTCCGCATGCGAGAGGGTGGTGGTGACGATGTCCCCGACTCTGGCTTTCTGCCTGTATTTCCCACTGCCCGCAGCAGTGGGAAGTACATGCAGCAGCATGTGCATACGCCACCACCATCCTACCACCCAGTCACATTTGAGGGTTTCTCAAAACAAGTTCTATCTTCGTGAAAATGTTTTTTTGGACACGTCTTTTTAACGCCAAAACTTTTAACTTGTTAAATCTTGACTTAAAGCTTTCGTGACTGCAGGAATTCATATTCTTTGGGTCTTTCGGTAAAGCCACGTTGATAGAAAAAATAATTAACTTGTTGCTATCGGTCGAGCGAGCGGCCCGCAAACCGGAAGGTCGCGAATTCAAATCCCGGTTCGGGTGTCGATGCAGCCCATTCAATGGTTACCACTTTTTTTTGGTGGGGGGGGGTCCACAGTGGCTATTCTATGAACAAGACCCGCCCCCGTCATGGGAATATGGAATTTTATTATCGGCTCAGGGCTGTAGACGGAAGATGAGCACAGCCTCAATCAATGCTCATTTGAGCAGGGCATCACTTTGGAAATGGATGAGTGAGAAATGCAAGTAGACAGCAGGAGACGTAGTGGATAGAAGGGATTGATGGCTGGTGGCCGAGACTCATGATGGAGTGGCGGCCCAACGAGTGAATGCACCTCCGATTAACAGGGTTGACTACGTACGGCGCGAAAGAAGTTCAACATGCATACGTACAACGCGCCCGCGAGAAACTGCCCATCACGGAGATGTGGCAGAGTGACATTGGCCCTTGTGCAGGAGGTCGACGGATTGCTGCATTGGAAGACGGCGCCAGATGACGGATTAGCGGCGGCCTACATCCTGCAGTGGATAGACCACGGCCAATGATGATGAATGTGCCTCAATAACACACCTGTCAATCCATACGAGTTACCCGCATTCTTGTACAGGGAAATTGAGTTTGCAGGTCCATACGGCGTACAAGCCGTTTCAATAGGGGCAGAATTCGTTTTTTGTTTATTCGTTTGTGTTTCTCCCTTGTGATGGGACATTATGGGATGAACGCCGAGATTTATAATGGCACGGGGTGACCAACAAGGTCTGAATTGGTCTCTAGTATGGTAGGCACTGATAAGGGTTTGACAGATATGCAATAAAGCTTCATAATTCGATCGAAGCTTTGGAATCATATTCTCTGATTTTCCCAGTACAGTAATGCACTACTGACAATCACAGACTTTGAGCTGAACACAAGGCTTCATTGGAAACACATTTCGCGAACCAGTGCGCTACATTATAACGAGTAACAGCAAAGTCGCGCACAGCAGTCATACCGACCTATCATCGCAAAAGTGCGAGCCAAAATGTTCAGCGTGACGCAAAGTAAAAGTCCTTTACAACAGCGACGCCTCGTGGCTGGTTCGAAAAGTGTTCCGATGGAGACATCGCAGCGAACTGGCCGAGCACAGGGAATGATCGCAGGGTACAAGGCCCGCCGTTCCACGCACGAGGAGAAGAAATCACAGCAATGTACGACACTCCGCTAGTCCTGACGCGGTGAGCTCGCTTGGCCACCTCAAATGTGAAACTGTCACCATTGGAACCTCCTTTGCCAGTAGCAAAATATGATAATTGTTATAATTGTTTTTTTTACCCTTTTATCTGGCAACAAAACTGACACCTTTTTTACAAGGAGTATTGTTTGCATTGACCACAATTCCTGCAGTCGTAATACAAACAAAAAACGTAACTCTGATAATGTATGCACTGTCCTTGACGTTGATTGGTCCACACCCGAGACAGATTTCCTTAGAGCCTAGTCTCACATGGTGTTGGACCAGATGACGCCATGTGAGACTAGGCTCTAAGAAAAGCTGTCTCGGGTGTGGACCAATCAACTTCAAGGACAGTGCATACATTATCAGAGCTGTGTTTTTTGTTTGCATTCCGACCGCAGGTTTTGTGGTCAATGCAAACATGACGCCTTGTAAAAAAAGGTGTCAGTTTTGTTGCCAGATCAAAGGGTACAAAAACAATTATTATTTGAATGTGTCGTTTGTTGCTCTGCGTCTCCAGCAGCCGCGTGGAATAAGAAGAGGCTCGCCACAAACCCCGCCACCCGAGTTCGAATCCCGCTCACGGCCAACACCAGTGACGATTATCCGAACCGGTTCCTGGGCCTCCCCTAGATCGACTCAGCCTCAAATGAGTGCCTGGTGCGGTGTATAAACATCGCTACTGGGGAGAGAAGGGCAATCGGGCGTGGTGCTGGCCACCAAACCCCCTCGTTTGCCGTGCCGGTCTTCATAGGTGCTCGCTAACAGCACTTGCCCCAACAATCTGTCAAGGCTACACGGGGGATCTTTGTCTCTGGTGCCCCCCGACCACCCCACGTGACAGCTCTACTCTGGCCCCGCCATGCGAGAGGAGATGGAACCAGGCTCGGGTTCAGAGATTATGACACAAAGGTTTTTCAATAAATCAGTAGCAGAACAACATTTTAAAAGTATTGTTTAATTCAGTCATCCATAGAAAATCATCACAATCACTGTATTTAAAAAAAGCATGCTCTACAGATTATATCACGCCCTCTCAAGCAAACGTGTCTACTCGACAGTTGGAGCACAAAAATCCGTCTTTTGGAGTGTTGCTCATCATTGTACTACTTACTACCTTTGCTTCACGAGCAATCAGCTGACTGGCACACATTTTCAACGACTAAAAATCAACATCAGGGGAGGGGTGGGCCGGGGTTTGGCGACACGGCCAAACGATTCCTCGCGGAGGGCTTCCCTCCGCCGTGCGGCGAGCGATCGTGCTGCGCTTACTGCAGCTGGACATTGGTGAGGGTCACGTCCCCAGATACCTCCAGCTTCACGGCCCTCCCCACGGGCGACATGCGATGATTGTAGGAGAAGAGGTGCTGCCCGTTGATGGACACCTTGTAATCGGTCGGGTCGCACTGGATATTCATCTGCAGGACATCACGCGGTCAGGGTCCTGATTAACATCGCAGCCCCCCCGGGGCCTCGGATTTTGAGCAGCCCCCCCCATCCCACCTGACCCTCTCCCCAACCTCAATAAATAAACACGCAGCCTTACAATGGTTAAATACTATGCTGTAATAATCTTGCTGTAGCAGTATGGTAAACCCTATAGGAGGTTTTTCAATTCAGCCATCGCATTGCTATGTCATACTAAAATGTGCTGAAATTACACTTCGGTCTTAAAATGGAAAAAAATAACAATTGGTGTCGTTTCGGGAAATGGCCATTAGCGCATGTGCTATTGAAGTTCATGTTCTTGGTGCTTGTGAACTCCTGTCGACGTGGTACCACTTGAATAATTTGTGCAATTACAAGTTTTGTCCAATTTTTGATTTATAGCTCTACACGATTCGTACTTCACATTTACACAACTAGAACTAAAATAACAAAAAAAGGGGAATAACAATGACGCATCGAGCATGGGAGGTGTGAACAGTGAAGTGACAGGATTGAATACACTCAGAGGTGATCCTCCAAATCTATCGGCAATGTTTAGATGTGAAGGCAAAATGGCGTTCTGTTTGTGTTCTCTTACATGCAGTACGTGCATCTGACAAACGGACATATATTTGTGGTCAGCGCCAAGTTTGTTGTTTTTAACTTAAGAGTTAACCTCAGGTGCAAGTTAACCTACCAACCCACGGACTTACTCTTTGGTTCTTTCGGTAAAGTCACGTATAAAAAAAATAAAAAATAAAAAATAATAGCATACGACGTTTCGATTGCAACGCAAGCAATCATCATCAGGTATAAATGAAATAGCAACAACAATCTAACCAGAAAACTATAGACAGACATATAAGCAGACAGATATCACAGAGATACATAGAGATAGAACACACATAGGCACACAAATTCAGATTGAACCCATGGACTAGCAAATGTCAGGGTAGAGAAAGTAAATTTTGAGCTGGATTTGCCGCTTGGGACAACCACGACCTTACCTGGAAGCCCTGTCCTCTATTGAAGGGGAAGAAGGGCACCTGGCGTTCCTCGGGACCCCACGACTTATTTAGATGGGAGTTCCTCACGAAGACGTGCTCGTCGAAGCGAGGGTTGAGGTGCAGGAGGACGTGGCCACCCGTGATTTGGAGGTTGACGGTGAACCTGGAGCGAGAGGCGAGTGGCGCACAGCAAACGGGTCAACAACAGGATGTCCACTATCAGAAGGGGTTTTGGGAAATGTATTCACAACAGGTTCTATGCCTAGATTTGAAGCTTTCATGACTGCAAGGATTCATACTCTTAGGTTTTGTCGGTAAAGTCACGTAGGTAAAAATAAAAAAATAAAAATAATAGAAATAAACTTAGAAATCACGATGTTTCGGAGGCAACACAAGTCTCCGTCATCAGGTGGGACCGTCACAGCTAAATGTACTGTATGAAGTGATTTACAATTTTATTTCTATTATTATTTATATTATTTCTACTTTTATTATTTATTTTTACCTACGTGACTTTACTAAAAAAAACCTAAGAGTAGGTTTAATGCCCTATTTTTGTTTAAACGTTATTTGGCCATATTCTCCAAATTTTAATCCATTTGTAGTTTCAGCGTCACGCGATAAGACGAAGAATCCATTCGCATCTCTCATGGCAGTGCAACCCTTTGTGTTAAAGAACAGCCCATGGAAGTGGATATCACAGAGCTCCCTGTGAGATGTTCATTGCATGACAGTCACACTGACAGCTTTAATCATCAGAGTTGGAATTTTGCCAAATGAAGTGCAAAATCGAATTTTATGCAATGGGTTTTTTTGTGCATCCATGAACTCACTGCATGCGGGAACCTGGCTAATTCACAGGTGGGTGTCTGGATTCAAACCCAGGATCTCAGCAGAGCCGACTCACCACTTTGATCCTCTCAGCCAATTTTACGTTGTTTCAAGTACTGTAAATGAATGACAGCTCGTAATGAAACCTTTTGTAAATTAATGGAAACAAGTGAATGTAAGATAATAACAAAAAACTTTAAGAATTAAACTGATGAACATAAAAACACATTATTGTATCACGTTAAATGGTGTTGCTATTACAACCATTCAACTCCCTGTGCTGAATTAATTACCAGTAATAACACATTTATCTTTCCCTTGAAAGCAGTAGCAGTGTGTATACTGTGGTTGAGAAGCCACGCACCTCATGTGAAGCTGCGTGAACTGCAGGCGCCACTCTGGTGGACAAAGCGCTTGCCAGAACCACTGCCATCGTATTCCACTTTCTTTGGGGAATTCTGTGCGAGTCTGTGGGTCTCTGTGTGTGTCTATGGGTTTATGTGTGTGTCTATGGGTCTCTGTGTGTGTCTATGTGTCTCTGTGTGAGTTTATGGGTCTTTCTGTGTGTGTATGGGTCTCTGTGTGTATATGGGTCTCTGTGTGAGTCTTTGGGTCTCTGTGTGTGTCTATGGGTCTCTGTGTGATTCTATGGGTATCTGTGTGTTTATATGGGTCTCTGTATGTGTATATGGGTCTCTATGTGAGACATCCAGGGTGAAGTTTGTGGCCTCCTGCACCTGGATCCATGAGCCACCGCTGGCAGTGACCCAGACTGTATAACTCAGAGTGTATAACTCATCTCAGGAGGTCTCTCCAGTCCCAAGCCCTCACCGGTGAGCTTTGGGGCTGACCACTCCATTCATGATGATGATGCGTCCGGTGTATAATCCTCCAGGGATGTCACAGCTGTACGGCACTGCCTGGTAAATCATATCAACAAATTAATGTTTGTTGGAAACTTTAATATTTAGGTCGATGCTCCCACATGCCCTGTCAAAGCCAAGTTTCTTGGTTCATTGGACGGTTGTGGCTCGGTCCAATGGGTTTACCTCCCTTCTACAAAAGCAAAGAAACCATCATCGATGGCCTTGCACCACTTAGATCACAGGTGGCGTTGCTAAAATATTCCTGTCCCTTGTTTAATGATCGTCTTGGGGCTCTGAAGACTGTGGTGCGTCGTCTAGAGCAGGGGTCCTCAAACTTTTTAAACAGTGGGCCAGTTCACTGTCCCTCAGACCGTTGGAGGGCCGGACTATAGTAAAAAAAAAAAAAAACTATGAACAAATTCCTATGCACACTGCATATATCTTATTTTGAAGTGAAGAAGCAAAACGGGAACAAATACAATATTTAAAATGAAGAACAAGTAAAGTTAAATCAACATACTTGCCAGTATTTCAATGGGAACTATGGGCCTGCTTTTGGCTAATGAGATGGTCAATGTCCGGTTCCATATTTGTCACTGCTAGTCGTAACAAGTGATGCAAGTGTGCATCCGTTAGTCTAGATCTGGTTGGAGATTTCAAATGTTTCATTCTGGAAAAAGTCTGTTCACAGACATAAGTGCTGCCAAAGATGGTTGCCATTTTGAGTGCATGGTTCCTGAGATGAGGATATGTCTCAGAGGGGAGAGATGCATAGAAATTATGAAGGCTGCTTGACTTGAATGCGTCTTTCAGTCACAATTCTGCAGTTCAGCCAGTTCCATTTGGTAAATTGTATCCACATTTTCAATGTCAATAGAAAATGGGTTACGGAAAAGCTGTATGTCCTGTTCATGGAGATGAAGCTCTTTAAATCTAAATTGGAACTCCTTTTGCAATTTTTCCAGTGAATCCACACATGTTTTGTTTGGGAATTGCAACCAATGGTTTTTCCGCTAACAGATTTTGAGTTGTGGGGAGATGGCAGAAGTTTTCCTCCTTAACTTGTTTGATGAGGAGGCCTAATTTTACTTCAAATGCTTTGACATGTGATTGCATATCACAGATGAGCTTCCCCTTTCCTTGAAGTTGCACATTGAAACTGTTGAGTAGCTCTGTTACATCTGTCAGAAAGGCAAGATGCCATTTCCATTCTGCATCATTGAGCTCTGGTACTTCTTTGTTTTTTTAAAGCAGAAAAGCTGTAATCTGTGGAAGTAAGTCATAGAAACGTTTCAAAACTCTCCCTCGACTCAGCCAACGGACTTCTGTGTGGTACAGAACATCTTCATAGTCAAAATTTAGTTCAGACAGAAATTCCTGAAATTGTCTGTGGTTTAGTGCATGAGCTCTAATGAAGTTAACACAAGATACCACAATTTTCATAACAGAGTCCCACTTCAGTAATTTACTACACATCGCTTGTTGGTGGATGAGGCAGTGTATGGCTATTGTATGAGAATTGTTATGTTTGTCCATCTCTTGGTTAATGCGAGCAATTACTCCTTTCTTAGACCCCACCATGCTAGGAGCACCATCAGTTGTCACACTGGCTAGTTTAGCCCAGTTCAGCTCCAAACCATTCACAGTTTGGCAAATTTTTCATAGATATCCTCTCCTGTAGTTGTTCCTTTGATGCTTTGCAGTGCAGAAAGCTCTTCTGTGACTTCGAAATAGTCATTCGTCCCACGAATAAAAATTAGAAGTTGTGCAGAATCACGAACATCATAGCTTTCGTCGAGTGCCAAGGAAAAATAGTAAAGTTTTTTTGTGGAGTTTTGCAAATGCTGATGCAAATTGTCTCCCATTTCTTCAATCCTCCGTGTAATTGTAGGTCCTGAAAGACTCACTGTACTAAATAAATCGGCCTTCTCTGGACACATCTTTTTGGCAACAGAAAGAAGGCATTCTTTAACAAATTCTCCCTCCACGAATGGTCTGCCAGTGCACGCTATTAGCTTGGCAACTTGAAAACTTGCTCGCAGTGATGAAATATTTATCTGCTTCTGCTTCACAAAAGTATTTTGCTGAGTTGTTAATGTATTTTTCAGTTTTAATATTTTATCTTTTCTCACTTCTCCGACCAAACAATCATTTATCTTTATGTTGAGTTTCATAGTGTCGACGTAAATTGTATTCTTTGAACACAGACACTATATTCTGGCATATCAGACACACAGCTCTTTCCTTGTACTGCATGAAAAAGTAATCATAAGTCCACTGTTCTTTGAATATCCTACACTCCGAGTCAATTTTTCTCTTTCTTGACATCATTGTTTCCTAGGGAGTCAAAATTGCTATTAGTAAAATACCAATATATATACAACGCTACAAAAACAATATACCAGCAATAACTTTGCCCACACAGAAACATACAGACTGCACTGCCCATCAATGCAGTCTGATTGGGGGAACTCCGCTTTTACCCCAGGCTCACACTGGTGCGGGTGCCATTAAAAAGTTAATTACACCTGCAGTTTTGTTCACAGATCGCAGTACATCCCCAGCACACAGGAATATCACTGGAAGTGGAGCCGAGGGGCAAGTGAGGGAGCTGAGGGAGGGAGAGCCAGTCAAGCGCAGCCAGGGGAGGGCTGGCAGCCTTAGGCCTGGGGGGCAAGTCCAGTCAATTGGCCCATTGAACCATTCACCAGCGCAGCCCAATGAGTGCCCACCGCCGCAGCTCAATCAGTACTCACCAGCGCAGCCAAATCAGTGCTCGCCACCGCAGCCCAATCAGTGCCCACCACCGCAGCCCAATGAGTGCTCACCAGCGCAGCCCAATTAGTGCTCACCACCGCAGCCCAATTAGTGCTCACCAGCGCAGCCCAATTAGTGCTCACCAGCGCAGCCCAATTAGTGCTCACCAGCGCAGCCCAATTATTGCTCACAAGCGCAGCCCAATTAGTGACCATGGGCCGGATAAATGTCCTCGGCGGGCCGCATGTGGCCCGCGGGCCGTAGTTTGAGGACCCCTGGTCTAGAGTATACATCGAGGTCCACTGGTCTTGCTCCTACTGACGAGGCTTACAAGCTCCACCTGCTGGATTAGCAGGACGCTCTGCGCAGAGCCAAATTACATGTTTACTCCTCGCAGACAAAGAAGCGTAGCCCACGTGGTCTTTTTAAATTTTCCGAGCGCCTTCTTAAATCTTCCGTGCGGTCGCCACAATCCCCGACGAGTGAACTCTGCAACTCCTTACTTCATTTATTTTGCTAGAAAATTGAAAACATCCGATGCAATCTTTCCTCCAAGAATGAATTTTGCCAGGTGTGGTGGTACGCACGCCTGCAACCAGCGTTCTCGAGGCAGGGTGAGTGGTCCGCAGACAGATTACGCAGTTGTTGTGAGACTAATCCCCACTGGACTGGTGTGACTGGTTATGGCTACGTGACTTTACCGAAAGAACCAAAGAGTATGGATTCCTGCAGTCACGAAAGCCTCAAATCAAGATATGGCTACTGATTTTATGAATTTCACTTTGAACTAATGACACATTGAAACGATCTAATGAGGAACCCCTTTTGAAGGTATTGAGAATAACAACGGGTTATAATGAAGGCCTCGTGCCGTGAGGGCTGTTTGGCCATACATCACCACGCTGGTCAATGCGGGTTGGTGAAGGGGTGAATGGGACCATGACCTGATGTTATCTGTTATCAGGAAACAATCTCAGGTAGCCGGATTCAGAGCCCAGCGCGAAAACCACTACACCACCACTGCCCCCAAATATACCATGTCATCTGTATTATAAGACGGACTGGAAAGTAAGACGCACCCCACAGGTGTATCTGGCGTTAATAAAGTTCTAGTAATGTTGTTTGATGCCAACCAGAGTATAAGACTTGTCTCCAACTTTTGGTTTAAATACAGGGTGAAAAGGTCAATCCTAAAACCCAGAAAATGCAGCGAATTAATTACAATTTAAATAACATTTAATGTGATAGATGTTTAATTAATGTACAGACAAGTTACTTACTGGGTTCACGGCCAAGGTCATCTGAATAAGGCAGACACACACACAATATGATCAATCGACTGGAGACAAAGAACGCAATCAGACTGGGCAGCTTAGATTGCTCACCGCGCTATGATCAGTGCGTGCGAGAGGTCATGGGGACACCCACCAGTCCACCTGGGTATGGTGGAGGCTGCGCTGGCATGAATTGAGGGGGCATCATCTGTGTCGGTGGATACGTTGGTGGAAAAGGTTGAGGGATCATCTGAAAAAGAAAAAAGAAACCTGGTGAAACACCATTGACATAGTAAGCATGCAGCACGTATTGTAGATATGTGTGTGTGTGTGTTTAGTATACAGTACAATGTTGACAAAGATTCCTGCGAAAGCTTACACGTGCTGTTGGGGCAAATTTTTATGATTGGCTCGGGGAGGCAGATAAAAGATAAACCTGGCCCTGGTGGACGCACCTGGTTTTGGGTGAAGGAGATGGAGTAGACGTTGACGGTGCCCGCGATGCTCAGGGTGTCCACGCTGGCAAAGTGGATGCGGTGCGGGTACTCCATGAAGTGGGACCCGTTCACTGCCACCTGGCACAGCACGCAAGATCAAGATGGCATCATGACCAGAGCCGATGGTGCCACCTACAGGACACACCACTGCTTCACCATTATTGTTATTATTCGGTCGCCCGTTTGCATTGATCTCCCTGGGCGGTAGTTGAAACAATGGGTGGGTTTCTCATGAAGCCCCGGCTCTATGTCCACCCAGCAATATACAGTGACTCCTCTACTTACGAACATTCAACTTACGAACTTTCAGAGATACGAACACACTTGTCCGTATGTCCAGTTGCCGTTCAGACCGAGAGTCGTAAGTTCAACCTCCGCGCAATAGATGGCAGTGGTGGCATCTACATCTGCAGAACATGATGAACCAGTGGCATCGACGTCTACAGGAGATTATACAACTTTGAAAGCCATTCCCTGCTTTTAGTATACATGCCGCACAACACGTTTGGAATTGAACGGAGTAAAGATGGACTTTAGAACAAATCGACTTACGAACAGACCTCTGGAACCTAACTCATTCGTAAGTAGAGGAGTCCCTGTAAATGGTTACAATCCAGTTTAGTCAATTGGCAGGTCACGTGTGTGTGTGTGGTGGGGTCAAAAGTGGGTACTCCCAACTCTTATAAGATTCTTGACCAGTATGGAAAAGTAGGCCAAAATTCCGTCAATTGGGGGGTTCCCCGGAGCTCCATATTGCGGAGGCCCTTCTGCCAGCAGTAGAGTCAGCGAGCCATTGCAGAGCTGCCCCTCTATCCCGTCAGCGATTGTAAAAAAAAAATGTAACGACTGGCGCGACCTTTGTCCGCCTCTTATCTCGTTTAGGCAAAGGTCGGAGCCAGTTTGCCCAATCTCCAGTCTTCACCACGCACCACAGCAAATCCATCCACTTTCATCATCTTCTCCATCCAAAATAGAGTTCTACAATTACGCTGTGTACACCTCCGGTGATTGAGAAACACAGAAGTCCACCATTTCGGCTCGTGTGAACTGGATTCCGAGAAGATCCAGTTTTAAGCAGGTCGTACGTGGCAAAATGGTTACGCTGGTTTGCTAGGAATGTCAAACAGTGACGTCGCAGTCGGCTTCCCCTGTCATCGCAAGTGGCCTCTGCTGGTATGTACAGCGGACGTGTACATCCCCATTCTCCAGTCTACTGCTGGATGAAGGCGTCCCCATACTACGTGGACTCTGGGAGTTATTTGGCCATACTTCACCACTCTGGTATCCACGTGGGTTGGTGATTGCGAGGAGCAAAGCCATGGTAGGATTAAATGAACTGCGCAATTAATTTATGACCTATTAAATAATACAGGGTGCTTCAAAAACATGTTAACACTATATAGGACTACGGATTTTAGTGGAAAAAGAACGGATAATACACTGTAAAGTGAAAACAAATGTAATGTTAATAACTTCAAAAAGTCAAAGAATTCATCTTCTTGGTTCTTTCGGTAAAGTCACGTAGAAGGGAAGTAATAAAATAATAAAAATAAAACATAATAAAATAATTCTCACGACGTTTCGGCCACAACGCAAGCAGCCGTCCTCAGGTGAAAACCAGGTCTGTCGCTGTCGCCTCGACAGACCTGGTTTTCACCTGAGGACGGCTGCTTGCGTTGTGGCCGAAACGTCGTGAGAATTATTTTATTATGTTTTATTTTTATATTTTATTACTTCCCTTCTACGTGACTTTACCGAAAGAACCAAGAAAATGAATCCCTGCAGTCACGAAAGCTTTAAATCGAAATTTAAAGTCAAAAGAGTCTCCACTTTTTCGCCATCGTTGTCAACGCGTGCCTGGAATCTCCCTCCAGGTGTTCTCCAAAGCCCGGCGACACTTTTCTTGTGGCGTTGTTGCAAATCTCAGAAGTGTTAAAAAAAAATTTTGAAGCACCCTGGATATTTGGCATTCAATCTCCCCATAAGCAAATAGTTTAAGGGGTTAGTTTTTGTTCATCTCCGCATGTATATCATGGACCGTATATTTACTCGAAGCATGTTTTATTTTGTGGCGTGCGGGAGCTCAACGGATCGTTGCATTGTTAGACCACGAGAGAGTTCTACCTGATGACGATTGCAATCGAAACGTCGCATTCTATTATTACATTTATTTTCTTTTTACGTGACTCTACCGAAAGAACCAAAGAGTAACTCCTGCAGTCACGAAAGCTTCAAATCAAGTTCGAACCACGAGAGATGGCGAGCGCTTGGGAAGGCTTTCATCCAGCAATGGAACGACTATAGTTGATGATGATGGGATGATGATGATGATGGGATGATGATGATGATGATGGGATGATGATGATGATGGGATGATGATGTAAAGTTAAGATCGCGGATTGTAATTGTTTAATCGACCAGGAAGCACGACGTACAAAATAATGTTGGCAATTAACTCCCATAACGTACGGTCACCTATTTTGCAGACTTGGCAGTCAAACGTCACAATTTCGATATTCGGAAGCCACTGGAGCTAAGCACATTACATCTTCATTGAAAACGAGTTTCTTTAGGACTGCTTTTTGTGTTTAGTTTGTTATCCATCCCGCACCTCCAATTATCACAATTGGCTACATACGGTGCAAAAGATGTTCAACAAACACACACACACACCTGCACTTCTCTGTCCACTGATAATTAATGGCTTTTCATTTGGCTGCAGGGTACAACAGCGGCTCCATAGTACTGTAACTGCAACCACAGCCCGCAACGGCCTGTTACTGGACAGTGTGAAAACATCAGCCGAGTTGTACCGCGCGGACGTAAAGTTTATCTACAACAAATAGCCTCGTTGCAACGACGCCTCTTCGGAGTCGTAACGGAAAGCGCCGATTGCGTTACTCCGTGCGAGGAATATTTACCTTTTGCGCGTGGGCGTTTAGTGGGCTCTAAATATATCCACGGGCACCGTCACACCACAAGCCGCCCAGGCAATCAGGTTTCAAACACGAGTCGTAAAAAAAACACAAACTCTCGGGCCGTGACGCACAGCGCATCGTTGTCAAAGAAAGGTGCGAAAGGGCTCTGTCGATGTAGAGAACATTTAAAATGACACGTTATATACGTGACAATGTTGTTGTGCTTCAAGTTCAAGTTCATTTATTAGGTATAGCCCTGTGAGCCATTCCGCTCTTGAATCGTGTGCAACCGCAACAAACAAAAAACTAAAACATGAACAAAAAACATCTTAAAGTGATAAATTAAAATAAAAGCATATTACGACGTTTCGATTGCAACACAAGCAATCATCATCAGGCAAAAAAAGAAGAAATAGCAACAAAAAATCTAACTAGAAAACTATAGACAGACATACAAGCAGACAGACATCACACGGACACACAGAGAGAGGACAACATATCGGCACGAAGAGAGGGGTCGTTTCTGTGACGGTCCCTTAAATATAGAGAGGGGGGCAGGGACGGAGAGAGGGAGGAGGCAGAGAAAATTAGCATATCAATGAGTGGCAAAGTGCTGCTGCTGCTCTAGTAAGATGACGACGTGGCACAGCACGCAAGCTTGCAAATTAGGAGAAAGGCACACTAAAATTAAATAACCTCGCAAAATATCGAAATGTGATGTAATACAACACAGAGAGTCGGTCAACACACAATTAACGCATAGCCTGGTTGATTACGTATCTCAAAGATTGCTAAGTTAGAGTTTAAGTGTGAAACTTCCAAAGAGAGGACACACTTAAACTCTAACTAAGCAATCTTTGAGATACGTAATCAACCAGGCTATGCGTTAATTGTGTGTTGACCGACTCTCTGTGTTGTATTACATCACATTTCGATATTTTGCGAGGTTATTTAATTTTAGTGTGCCTTTCTCCTAATTTGCAAGCTTGCGTGCTGTGCCACGTCGTCATCTTACTAGAGCAGCAGCAGCACTTTGCCACTCATTGATATGCTAATTTTCTCTGCCCCCTCCCTCTCTCCGTCCCTGCCCCCCTCTCTATATTTAAGGGACCGTCACAGAAACGACCCCTCTCTTCGTGCCGATATGTGTCCTCTCTCTGTGTGTCCGTGTGATGTCTGTCTGCTTGTATGTCTGTCTATAGTTTTCTAGTTAGATTTTTTGTTGCTATTTCTTCTTTTTTTGCCTGATGATGATTGCTTGTGTTGCAATCGAAACGTCGTAATATGTTTTTATTTTAATTTATTATTTTATCTTTAGACGTGACTTAACCGAAAGAACCAAAGAATAATTCCTGCAGTCACGAAAGCTCCATAATTAAGATCTTAAAGTGAATTTGTGACTAAGTGCAAACAGAAAATCCAAGAAAAGACAGCAAAATATTGCAGAAAAAAACACCGTACACCAACGCTGTGTGCAAAAATCGGTTATGAGCATTTGTGAAGGAATGTACGCGAGCTGTATGCGAATGTTACGTTAAAACTAACGGAGTGAATCGGTGACATAGCCGATTGAGTGTGTTATTTATTTATTTTGTATCGCACCTTTAGCAAAAGGATCGCCGCAAAGCGCCCACATCAACATTTTAATTAAAGTCTAAAAATGTTGTAAATCGGAGAGAATAATAGCCAGCGAGTATAAAATGTTCTAAGACGCGTAAATAGACAACAACAAAATGACAAAACATACTTAACAGCTGAACAAGACTGTACAAAATGCAACAAAAAATACGAATGATATCCTACAAATTTTGTCAAAAAACACTGATTCTTGAATAAATTCACGTCCGTAAACCATGCTACCATGGAAAGGACTTTTTTTATATTTTCTTTCGTATTTTATTTTGTCATTCGTCGTACGAGGGATTAGGCAAGCACAGGTGAGCGTACTGCACTGTGCGGCCTGGCTGAGTTCAATTCCTGGCCAAGGAGAGATAACATCTGTGGTCAAAGATATCGGTTTCTGTTCTGCTTAACCCCCCCCTCACCCACCACTCTTGTTTAATCTATACTGATCAGCACGGTGAAGTATAGTCAAACAACTTTCATGACTGAAACGTATGGGGTGCCCTTCGTCGACCGGCCGAGTGACATCGGACTGTAAATGGTAATACACTAGCTATCACAATGCGTCGGTTCAGTGATGCTTTACTCAAAAAAATTCTCGCCTGTGCAGCGCGTCCGGTTTGTCGCGCGTGGACACATTTTTTCGAAGCGTATTTTTGGAAAATGTTCCTTTGAGCAGGAAGCCGCTTCGAGTCATTTCAGACTTGCCTTGAAGTTGTGGTTGGAGACCATGAAGATGATCTCAAAGGCTTGGCCGCGAATGATGGTGTTGTGGGCCCTCTGCTCCTTGCCCCACGCCTGCCGCTGGAGCGTGTTGCACACCACCTGATGTGACCCTTCGTCCCAGCGCGGGTTGAAGTGTAAGGCCACGTCGGCCCGCGGGGTCACGGCCGACCCGCACTGGAAGTCGATCTGGAACCTGAACAAGCGAAGAGGGAGAAGGGGACCTGGAGTGAGCGGCACGGGGCCGCAGCCACGGCCGTCGCCAGAGTTATACTGGATGCGGTGTGCCGAGCGCGGGGAAATTATCTTCCGGCTTGCCGACGTGGACTGGGTCTGGCGAAAGCTAAGCCGTGCTGCATCCGCGCAAAGAAGCGTGGACAGATGCATGGTTGACATTCAACGGAGAGACAGAGACAGGAGCATGTGGATTTGAGAACATGTTCAGATTAAAGACAGGTTTTTGGATCTAATAGTAGGGTTTTACCCTTTCAACTGGTACAAAACTGACACCTTTATACAAGGGATCATGTTTGCAATAACCACAACACAAGCAGTCAACATGCAAACAAAAATGAACAACTCTGATAATGATAATGATATGCACTGTCCTTGAAGTTGATTGGTCCACACCTGAGACAGCTTTTCTTAGAGCCTAGTCTCCATTGGTGTTGGACCAGATGACGCCAAAAGGCGTACAACTCAAAAACAGCGCACTATCAGAGTATTGAGAGCTCGGGGTAAGCATTTACGCTATGAGACCTCCTTTACCAGTGGCACCATATAATAGTAGGTTTTTACCCTTTCAACTGGTACAAAACTGACACCTTTATACAAGGGATCATGTTTGCAATAACCACAACACAAGCATTCAAAATGCAAACAAAAAGAAACAACTCTGATAATGATATGCACTGTCCTTGAAGTTGATTGGTCCACAATTGCACAATGTTCACAGTGACCTTGCACTGTGATGCTGTGTTGCAGCTCTAGCCTTGGTTTAATCCACGCATCTGGTTGAATGCCACTGTGCTGGCGTAATGAATCACAACCATAAAGCTGCAAATAAAAAAAATATTGGTCAAGGTATCGTCTCGGCCAATCAACGCTCCCAGGTGAATAAAAGGAGTACCGCTTCATGGGAAACCAACACGGAGCATACAGTGCGTAAAAAGCCCTCGTTTAATCGATTAAAATAAATTATTATGCTCAGAAAAAGCATCCAATCTTGGAAGAGGTCGATTATTTTCACTTTATGTGTTCTGTGCAATGGGTTCGTGGGTAATTGCGAGGCAGAAAAATCGCAACAAGACTGGTGGTTATCTTATAGAAAGCCTGACCCCTGCCATAGGAATGTGGAATTTCCGCAGCTGGCTGAGTGGTGCCAATGGAGATGAGTACTGCACCATTGCTCATTTAAGGAAGGAGACGTATAGGGCATCATTGTCATATTGACGATTATTCATTCCAATCGGAATTTCCCCATCGCCAACAATACAGATGGCCAGTTTAACGCGTAGTTGGCTTTCGCGACCAATATCATCCATAATAGAGGTTGTTAGGGGTTAGATCGTGTAAATATATAAATGTGTCGTTAAACCCGCCACCACCCGACACAGCCAACTAGTAAGGGTTGTCACGTAAACAGAACGTGCCAATTCGTCACTAGTACAGCACTAATGTGTAGTGTATAGTGTAGTGTATAGTAGTGTATAGTGTAGTATACTAGTACAGCACTAGTGTATAGTGTAGTAGTGTATAGTGTAGTAGTGTATCGTGGTGTATAGTGTAGTAGTGTATCGTGGTGTATAGTGTAGTAGTGTATAGTGTAGTGTATGGTGTAGTAGTGTATGGTGTAGTAGTGTATAGTGTAGTAGTGTATAGTGTAGTAGTGTATAGTGTAGTGTATAGTGTATAGTGTAGTAGTGTATAGTAGTGTATAGTGTAGTAGTGTATAGTGTAGTGTATGGTGTAGTATACTAGTACAGCACTAGTGTATAGTGTAGTAGTATATAGTGTAGTAGTGCATAGTGTAGTGTATAGTGTAGTAGTGTATCGTGGTGTATAGTGTAGTATGGTGTAGTAGTGTATAGTGTAGTGTATAGTGTGTAGTATATTAGTACAGCACACCGGTGTGTTGGAGAGCCAAGCCACAACGTTTGCAATCTGAGTACGACGTTTCGTCAGTAATTACAACTAGCTTCATCAGGCGACAGCCAGATTTCTGGAGAAGTCCACCTGTTTTGCTCCTTATATATAGAGGCGCAAATGTGGTGACCACGCTTCTGCGCTCTTGCGCAAAGTGGGGGGGGGGGGGGGGGGGTATTAACGAGTCAACGTAAATTATGCATGCACATTATGTGAGCCTATTGATCTTGTCCTTCCTGTCCATTGTGTGTATTGACATATCCGTACCAACGGTAATCACTATTGAAGTTTGGTGGCCTGTAAAAGCATTAGTTGATGATTCGCTAACGAGCAGCACTAAGTCGGTTGCTATCTGAACGGTTCAAATTATAAAAAAAAAAGAACATGCGTGCCAACGAGGACACTCAATTGATTTCGATAATGTTGACGTTCTGTGCAAAACTAGCTACGAATGGCCAAGACTAATTAGAGAATAGATCGAAATTGAAAGGAAATAAATAAATAAATATGTGTGGGTGGCATTTCAAAGGAATTTTTCAAAAGTTCCAGGATATGATCTTACCTTCCGGAGTGATGGGGCGTCATGCCCTTGATCATGACCATCTTGCCATCGGAGAGGCCCCCGAAAATCATGCCCACGTATGGGATGGCCTGCAGGAAGGACAGAGGTGTGGTAAAAGGTAGCCCTTAAGTCCGACTTAAGAACGTTTAAGTACGTATATTTAGATTTCTTTAAACCTTCATTTTATGCCCCTTATTCTTGCTTTGTTCAAGCGATGTGCTGCTCATATCAGCATTGCTGGGATGCTCATCTTCTCTTTACAGCACTGAGGCACTATTGAAAATTCCACATTTCTACGGCGGGATCGAGTCTCGTCATGGCACATACACGTTTGACTTTCGCACAAAACGATGATATTTTATCAAACCTTGAGGGATGATGGACTGAGTCAAACCCCAACCAGGAACTGAAACTATCAAAAAGTGAGTCGCTTGCTCTAGCAATGAGCCGCCCGGTTTGATGGTCAGTGTCATCAGGGCCGGGTTCAGGTTCTTGTAGGCCCGAGGCACTTCTGCTTCGTAGGTCTTCAGTGATAACTTTCTACAGTTCCTGCAGCTGCCCCATGTTCCTACCGCCACTGTCACTTGCTAAAGCTGATAACAAAAAAAACTGTCTCCAACACTGGTCAAAAAAAAAAAAACTTTTTTTTCAGGCCTGGACTTTTGCAGCTGTTTTAGACTAATTTCAGGGTGCTGATTCCAAATCTGATCTCAGATTTGCTCAATCACATCTCATATTTATGCTATCGGCATACCCCATTTTCATTGATTTTACCCGAAATTAACTCTGTCACTTATGATTGCAAGTTGTTGCGAGTCAGTGACTGCTTTAGTGTTAAAATATGGTGCTGTATTTTTTGGATAGTGTGTTTATAATATAATTTTATGTAGATATCCACATTTATTTAATATTTTTCTTCTGCAGTTTTTATTGAAAATGCAATATTTGATATCTCAAAAACCTGACGTGAAAGACAAAAACTGATGCCAGATTTGGAATCAGCACCCCAAAATTACCTTAACACCGTTGAAATACCTTATGCCAGAAAAAGTGTGTTGACCAGTGTAATAAAACACAAGACAGCAACGCTGCTTGTCTCCCCCCTTGCACTACTCTCTATTGAGAATGAGATTGTGCGCAAAAACACCATTTGTAGATGTTATTGCTAATTTGGAAATTGGAAAAAAAGTTAATCTCCGGTCTTCATTTCCCTCACCTGATGAAAACAAACCGATTGACATTGACATGACTCTGCCTATTTGTATCTACACTGTGCCTATCTTTGCTATATAAATATGTTTATAGAAGAAGATATCTGGGTTACATTTTTTATCTTACAAAAAAAAAAACACGGTCAACTTTTTTTTTTCGTAAGCCCATACGGGACCATTATTTTAAACAGATGAGAACTATTAATTATCACACCTTGGACCGCAACACGTTTTCCAGCGTGTGCGTTTGCCTTCATAATGATTCATTTAGCCGTTTGGAGGCCAACTATTTGATTTGTTTACGCGGCTAATAAACATTTAGCGTTAAGGTGTCTTACGACAGTGAAAAAAATGCAAGTTGCGGAATTAAATGCAAAACATTTCAGACGGCGAGTTAGCAAACGCTTTTAAGTAAAGCAACATTCTGGCCATGCACCATTCAAGTAGCAACATTGAAACAAACCGGTAGCCGTCACGGCAAACATATTTAATATTTGCACTTAATAATAATAATTGCTCTGGTGTGTGTGTGTCCGTCCACGTTTGAAGCACGTAGGATCTTCTTGGCGAACGTTAGTCCCTTCTCACGATGTGACACGGACGGACAGAGTGAGCGCATCAACAATTGCAATCTTAGTTGGAGAGCTTCGACAAGTATCGGGTAAGGATTGTATCACTCGTTTACAGCGCTGAGACGGTGGTGGAAATTTCATTTTCCCAAGGTCCGTTGACTTCCCCACAAAGTTATGCGGCACCGTAACTCGCTTCATCGGGATTAAAAACTCGCAACTCTCCCGACTGACAGATGCCCTTCCAATGGCAGAGCTACGCAAGCTGTTGTATCGCTGCGAAGTCTTAGAAACAGAAAGAAATCAAACAAAACACTTCCTCCCGCAAGCGAATTCTAGAGGAGAAATCAAACGGACAGACAAAAATAACAACCACTCAGCGCACAACTCGCGAGCAGCGAAGGGGTGGGTGTACAAGAATAATTCCTGCAGTCACGAAAGCTCCAAAATTAAGATTGTACAACTGTCACTTACCGGGTTGACGATATCACTCTGGACTGGTGCGTAAAACGCCATGGTTTTCTTTCTCTCTCCCTTTCTCGCAAAGCCTAGAGGAGCCTAGAGGAGTGCAACAGCTAAGAGTGAAAGGGAGCGAAGCACAGGCGGAACGCAAGTGGGCTGAACAAGGAAGTCGCTTGCCTCTTGCTCAAAGGGCTTTCAGTTACGTGTGAGCTGGCTTGGTGTCAGCGATGGGGAATGGCTTGGGTTTTTTTTATACACAACTGCCACGGCTGATCGATAATTCGTGAAATATCTTGCCGATAACTAAGCGAGCGTAAACATTTGTTTTTGCGCGCACACTTTTACGAATCCTGTCCGTCTGGTCACACACGCGCACCCATCGTACGCTCTTTGAAAACAACATAGTTTTGAAAATAATCCATTCTTTGCAACAACAACAATAAATAGTTTCGACTCAAGCATGGACTTTGGATATGTCGCATGTGTACGGCCCGGAGAGCCTGGTTAAACTTTAACGAAGGCTGAGGTTGGAGCACGGGGTACAGCAGCAGCAGCAGAAGCTCGGCATGCACGATGGGGCTTGCCTGCCCGATCACCGACGGTGTCGTTTGAGGTCCGTCGAAGCGGATACACACACGGTGTGTGCTCTGCTAAATTAATGTTTACAAATATAGCACTCGCAGTGTGTGCACACACCATGTGTGTGTGTGTGTTGTTACCCAATGGACGTTGTGTGTGTGTACCGTGCCAGCCTCCGCTATTACAATACCCCCCAATTTACTGAGCAAGATGAGCAAAGCTTTTCTGGGAAATCTTGTGCTATGCCGCCGTTACGCGTCACCAAGACCAACAGACACTGACCACAGAATATGCGGTACTCAGACGAAGAGAGGCATATCTGGACTGTTTTTTGTATAATTCACAAGACTCTTGAATTTCCTACAATAGCACCGAGCCATGCAAGTGCTATATTTGTAAACATTAATTTATCAGAGCACAATATATCTATTCAATAATAATTTACGGCCCTTTTAAGTCGATTAAATGTCACTGCTGCATGAAGGTTTCCACGTCCAGTATCGGTTACGGGTGATGTTTAATCATATTTCACCGCACTGGTCATTGTGGGTTGGTGAAGAGGTGGGGTATTGGGGGCGGGGGACCGACGGCCTGTCCAGATGTCACTCGTCACTGACGTCAGCAGAAGGTGAAACACGAATTTGGTAAGCGGCTACATCGTGCTTGTATGTACCATTTTGAACTCTTTCGCACTGTACATAGCCAACCGTGCTAATCCGAGGTGCTTACCACATGGCCACTGTGCTACCACTCATCTAAGAGGTAATAGTACCAACATTAGATACGAGGGTATACCCGGAGGCTCCATATCAGCATCTTTGCCTCCGTGACATTGCTACTACATCATGGCCATCTAAGCTTGAGACACACCCCTTACGTGTGTGCAGTGTGCTCATTCACAGACACTAGCAGGAGGTTCTCTCTTTTATTCCGGTCTTCACAGCCTTAGGGGACAGCCAACATGCTGACAGACCCACAGCTTGAAGAGGGTGAAGATCACGACGACGACGACTATTTAAAAGTTTATTAATTTCTCAATCATGGGCAGTTCTCTGCTTTGAACAGCCAGAAAGACCATGAAAAAGAAAACCAGGAGGAAAAACATGACCAGAACCCGAAAAGGGGATGTTATTGTAACAGCCAGTGCCTTTATCACTCTCCCTTACAGCAGGCGCACCGAGTATGAGACAAGAGAAAAACATTGCCATCCTACACACAACCTTTGAGCGAAAAAAAAGCTTACCGTCGCCCGGGCAGTACATTAATCCGCCTACCCTCCGTGGCGAAGGGCGTCCTCAAACTCAGCGCATCTCATCCTAGGCCACGCGGGGGTGGAGGCCACCGCCATTTCTGATTTGCGGCGTCACTGCCCATCGTCTCCCTCTCCACCTCCACCACCCTCTCCAACAGCCACCTGGCTAGGTGGCATACTTTGAGAGGTGACATGTGGGTGCCCTTAATCACTCTCCTCCTCCGACGACGACGGCACGACGAGTTCCACTCCAGATCGCAGCAGCCCCAACTGCGAGTCGGAGCTCGCCTTTACTCCTGAACAGCGTGGCCAGGGTCTACCCTCGGCCCCATACCCCTCTTGATCCATACTCTTAGTTCTTTCGGTAAAGTCACGTAGGTAAAATATGAAATTAAAATTAATAAAAATAAAATCATTTTAATTTCATTTTTTACCTACGTGACTTTACCGAAAGAACTAAGAGTATGAATTCTTGCAGTCACGAAAGCTTCAAATCTAGAACCACTCTTGATCCCCCAGATGGCTCCGTGTTTTGCCCACACTGCGTTGGTGTACGGTGCTTTTTCTGCAATATTTTGATGTCTTTTCTTGGATTTTCTGTTTGCACATAGTCACTTTAAGATGTATTCTTGTTCATGTTTTAGTTTTTTGTTTGTTGCGGTTGCACCCGATTCAAGAGCCGAATGGCTCACAGGGCTATACCCAATAAATGCACTTGAACACTCTCCCAGCTGCACGCGCTCCAGTGACTCATTCCACGTCATGACACGTGTTTGCTGATGCCCAGCGGATGCTATGTAATGCTTCCATTGATGTATGTACTCTTATGCTACAACACGGGGAAATCAAATATGTGATGGCACGTCTGTGATTTGCATGTTAACGTGTGGGTGATTTTAAATTTTCTCAAAAAATAACACATGTTCAGGTAGTTGAGATGTAACTCGAACAAAGAATTACGCAGACTTGCTGAACGGCCGAGTGCTTGAATTTCCAGGCAGTGCCCAAATGCATGTTCAGTGCACCCGAGGGCACCCACCGCTCTCATCTTGACCGTCGCTCTCTTTCACTCGCGTTGCGGTTTGCTCGATCGCCACCAATTTCAGCCAGGCGCAGAGGAAAAAGACGCCGCAACATTGCAGCACCGTTTCCCTACTTTACTGTATGTCACAAGCTTGCATCCGGCCTCTTTACAGTATCCACAGTTTTGGCTTTTAGTAAATTCCCTTGACGTCTGGGTGGCCAGCACTCAGCAAATCTGGGCCTACGCGCGCACCGATGAGCAACCAGTGGACTTCTCTTCATGAGCTGAGCATACAGTATCAATGCGGCGAATATTGATAACAAAAATGACATTCTTCACTACTCTTAGTTTGTTAGTTTGTGTTGTCTGTTACATCGTTTTGTGTCGAACTACGGCCAGCATTGATTCAAGCTAGCCTGACTACTGATAAGGCTACTGAATGTTGAAACCAAAGTGTGCTTGTATTTGAACCAATGCTGCTGAAAAGATGCACTCCCAGAAGGCCGTTTGCCAGGTAGGTTATGTATATTTTTTTGATGTGGAGAAACACATATGGATGGGAAGGAGGCATGCAATTGTTTTTATTTCGTACATGAAGTTGGATTGGCTTTGTAGCAAACCGCTTGCCCTTATATTTTCTATTTCATCAGGAAGAGCCCAATAAGCTGCAAGGCTCTATTGAATTGGATGTCCTGTGACGGTACAGATGTTACTAGAAAGTCCAGGTCTTAGTTTCAATCATGATGATAGAGGTCACGATACAAACAGCGCGTATCGTCTGTACGTGTGCTTCCCATGCTCATGGAATAGGGAACCGGTCGAAAACGAAAAAACATGATTCACCATGAAATTAATTTACTGGACAAAAAAACAGGAAGGAAATAAATGCCTTCAAATTTAGCAACCTCAATCAGGAACCAGGAAATGTTCAAGTGTGGTCCGTACAGACTCGGGTTGCACGCTCATCATTATTCATGCCAGTGAACTTTTACGAAGGAACTTGAGTTTCAGGAGCGAACGGAGGTTTCTGAAGGACTTGGCGACGATTGAAATTTCCAAATCGACTGCGCGATAGAGTTTAACACGGAGGCTTTCGCGACCAATATTATTATTCATAATGAAGGTGTTTGGGTTAGATCGCGTAAGTATAAATGTGTCGTCACCTTCCACCACCCGACGCAGCCAATTAGTAAGGGATTTGTCACGTTAACAAAACGCCAATTAGTTTACTACTTCAGCCCACCGCTGTGTTGGAGAGTAAATCCACAACATTAACAATTTTAGTACCACGTTCGCTGGTAATTACATCAACCAGCATCATCGGGCGATTTGCCAGAATAGTGAAGCAATGCACCTGCTTCTGGTCTTAAATAGAGCAGCAGCAGGGTGACGTCAACACTGAACTCATCAGCTGCAGAGATCGCAGCCCGAGGAGCGGGGGGGGGTATTGTAATTATATAATAGATTAGTAATCAGTTAATTATTATGTGTTTCCTCTATAAGGAATTTAAATTGTAAGCTGTACCATACGTTTGATTCGACAGACGATGTCTCATGACCCTTTTTGAATGGTTCTCAGTCGGGGGGAGGGCGATGATTGTCATGCACAATTAAATTGAGTGATTTGCGGGTTGTTTCTCGGATCTGGCGAATTTGGTCCATGACCTCTGGCACGCAGTGGCCCTATCTTGTGGATTACGTCACGGGATCTTTAACGTCAACTGCTTAGAGCAGATGGCGTGTAGTCGTACAGTCTTTGACCAATACACGCGCAGTAACAACCAGAGGGGCCCAGTAAACAGTCAACGCTGGGTCAGCATCACCTCTATTGACACATCTGTGGCGTAACTGCCATATCAGCTGAGCGGATGCGGCGGTCGGTCAGGTGAGGCCCCAATACCGTTGACAACTTAACTCGTGGTGGTTGTCAAGGGGGCTCCAACACGTACCTTTGGCCACCAGGGTCGTGAGGTGGGGTGGGGGGTGGCAAGACACCTCCTGCCCCTACGCTAGTTACGCTACCGTGACACATGCTTGGGGTTGTTGGGCAGAGTTCAATGTTTACTGCGTGGATTCGGCGGCGAACCTAACTGTCGCTGAGCCACGCCGCTCACTGCGAAATGCAACCCAGAGATCGGTGACTTTAATATGTGAAGGTTGTGCACGTGCGAAACAAAACGTCCGTTTGGGTAACGGGGTGGCTTGGCAACAAGCGGTTTTTATATTGCGTGACGGGCAGAGGTCGCAAACGGGTTTTGATTCCTTACCCATACCCGGCCGCACCAGGGTCGCAAATGGGTACCCGTACACCCGTACCCGGCCGGGTACGGGTAGCCGGGTAACGGGTAGGGTACGGGTATCGGGTACCCCGTTGCGACCTCTGGTGACGGGCTTTGGTTCCTGAAGTCCTGTCCACGTGCAAGAGGACTCAGGTTTCAATTCACGTGACGCTTCTCAGAATGAAAATGGCCAATCGGCCCGATGTGCGGCCCCTCTCTTGGGAAAACGCAGGGGAGCGACCGGCGACGCGCGTGCGACTCGTTACAGTGGTTCCACTGCTCGAGTCCGGGCGGCCGCC